GGACCCGGAAAGTACGTCTACCCAGGGGTGAGTATCTGCACCCGGGGTTCGAACCTGAACCCGTGTCATGATTGACTTTATCAAGTCAATCATGACACGGAGCGAAATGTTGTCCCAGTAATAAGTTGTACTACAACATGTGTTCTTGGTGTCTACTTGACTTTTGACTGAGTAATAATCATTCATTTTTTTCAGCTAAAGGATGGAGGTTATAAAGGCTTCGGGACGGCAAGTTACGACAACTATGTAGAGGACAACCATGTCAAAGAAACCGTTATCCCTGACAACACTGCCATGTACCAGAGCATGAAGAACTACCCATGGTACAGGAAGTAACCACTTTAGAACTACCCATGGTACAGCAAGTAACCACTGAAGAACTACCCATGGTACAGCAAGTGACCACTGAAGAACTACCCATGGTACAGCAAGTAACCACTGAAGAACTACCCATGGTACAGCAAGTAACCACTGAAAAACTACCCATGGTACAGCAAGTTACCACTGAAGAACTACCCATGGTACAGCAAATAACCACTGCCCTCTGCTCACACGTCACTATCCAGTCTATTCTATTTCTATATTCTTAGATATTATTTATTACGTAGCTATTACTAGATATAACTGGAAGTGTCCTCACGTGTGTATCTATAACATTGTTAGACTTGTTTGATGTTTATGATAAACATTTATTCATCCTTTTTTTTAATTAACATAGTTTTAGCTTCATACCTCCCTGGTCACGACAGCCTTATTATTACAATCAAAACTAAGCGCTAAACCCACAAGGGTCATACAACCGCGACAGCTTAACCTCATACAACCCCAACTCGACGTAGTCGAAATTAACCCGATTAAAAATATATTTGAGGAATAGGAGGAAATCAAGTGTGATCCGAGGAAGGGGGAGGCTAGCTCAATTCTTTGGAGTAAGAACACTTCACTATCGTCAAGGTATTCAGCTGTACTAAAAAAAAACACAATGGTTGCTGCTGTATTTTTTATTATCACCCGGGTAGGCTACGGACTCACACGGCTTTGTTTAAAATCTTTCAGTACAGGCGTAGAGCTCTAGCCCGTACGGGTCATACAGCTCCTGGGAAACTAGATAATCAAGTTTGATCCAAGGAACTGGATCTACCCTTCCTAGGATCAAGAGTTTTTCAACATCAAGGTACCCTCCTTGACATTATTCATGGGTAAGCACTAAACCTGTAGGAGGTCATATAACGCCTGGGAAAATAGGAGGCATTCAGGTTTGATCCAAGAAAGGGGAGGACAGATCCAATTCCTTGGATTGAGCCCCTCACCGATATCAAGGACCCTCCCTCGAGGAGACACCCTCCTTGACTAAGTCTGCTGGATCAATGCAGCTTAGTAAATATTCTACACTAAACTATTACATTCGAATTTTTTCATATTTCATGCATTCAATGGCCGTCTGTACTATTCTGTACACCGTACAGGGTGCCATATAAGAATTCGTTTTTTTATATATTTGGCTGCACTCATGTGGCAACAAATGTTTTAATATTCTGGGTGCAGTAGTGAGTTGACCAGCTTACAGTTTAACGTGTGTTGAACATTATGGAGGACACTTGGAACACTTGCTGTAGTAACTTACATAATTCTTTACAAAGTGATCATATTATTCTGGTTTAAACAACTTACGCCGCGCCCTGTACAAGACACTCACGGCAGTGCAACTCACTCACTTTGGAAAAGTGCCACATTTTCTATTACAAATGAATTATAAGTATTTCCAGTACAGCACATATGTACCCTAAAACATTATTTGCAGTGTTTCTTGTCTGCAACAAATAAGAGGCAGTGAGTGTTCATTCGACATCACTCTAAACTATCTCCTAACAAACTATGAGAGTCTACTTGAGTATCCAAATTTCTTTTAGCCATCTATCCATCAAAACTAGTTCTCTATCATCTATTTTGATATGGTTATAATCTTGAGACATTTTAAAGAATTGGGAACTACTGTAGTAACATAAATCAAGCTACGGCAGTGCTGATAGCTACATTAGTCATTTTGTACGCCGTTGACCTGGGTATTTTGACCAGAGTGCCACCGAAGTTAGTCCACTCCTCGCACCTCCTATGTGCTCAGCAATCTACATCTTTATATTTACTTATGATCTTCCGTAAAACATTTATAAACTGAGGTGATTAATGGTTGTTTAATGGTCAGGAAATGACAATGTCTCCTGACACAGGTCTAAACTATATGATGGCACGTTCAGTGGTTAAGTATCCACTAGCGTACCCCAGCTCTAACACACCATGCAATAAACAAAGCACTACCACACAGTGGTGTACCCTAAGATGTTTCTATACTAAGGTGGTTGGTTAGTTGGGCAATCGGGCTTAAAGCCTATCGACTACAAGATGGTCATTAATTAAAGCTGTATATCACCTGTTCACCACCAGTCAAGAATATTTTAATTACTAAAGCAAGGGTTAAAGTAAACTCAGCTAATATATATACGTATATATATATATTTTATATATATATATATATATATATATATATATTTATATATATATTATATATTATATATAATATATTATATATATTATATATTGCCTCGGTGGGAGACGGCCGCCCTTGCTAAAAAAAAAAAAATATGTATATATATATATATATATATATTATATATATATATATATATATATATATATATATATATATTTTATTATATATATATATATTTATATATATATAAAATATATTATATAAAATTTATATATATATATTATAAAATATTTTAAATATATATATATATATATATATATATAAGGTGGGAGTTAATAAAAGTATTAGTCAGGGGGCAAAAGAGGGGTTGTTGAGGTGGTTTGGTCATTTAGAGAAAATTTGGATCAAAGTAGAATGACATGGAAAAGCATATAAATCTATGGGGGAAGGAAGGCGGGGTAGGGGTCGTCCTCGAAAGGGTTGGAGAGAGGGGGTAAAGGAGGTTTTTGGGGGCAAGGGCTTGGACTTCCAGCAAGCGTGCGTGAGCGTGTTAGATAGGAGTGAATGGAGACGAATGGTACTTGGGACCTGACGATCTGTTGGAGTGTGAGTGAAGGGATTCAGGGAAACCGGGTTTAAATTTTCATATAGTCGGACTTGAGTCCTGGAAATGGAAGTACAATCCCTGCACTTTAAAGGGGGGGTTTGGGATATTGGCAGTTGGAGGGATATGTTGTGTATTTTATATGTGTATGCTTCTAGACTGTTGTATTCTGAGCACCTCTGCAAAAACAGTGATAATGTGCGAGTGTGGTGAAAGTGTTGAATGATGATGAAAGTATTTTCTTTTGGGATTTTCTTTCTTTTTTGGGTCCCCTGCCTCGGTGGGAGACGGCCGACTTGTTGAATATATATATATATATTATATTATATATATATATATTATATATATTTTATATATATATATATATATATATATATATATATATATATATATTATATATGCAAAACAGCCACTGTGAAAGAGTAGTGAATTCCAAGCGCTTTCGTGACTACTCACATTGTCAAGGAACTATGAAAGTAATATATCAAAGGAAGGCAATAAAAGGGCTTAGACCACATCTCACAGTCAACTCCCACAACAAAGAAACACCTGACGCGAGCAATACCGGACTCATAAGAAAAGAGGAACACTGCAGTAGGTCCGCTGGTCCAAACTAGACAGGTCCTCACGACAACCCACCAACAAAATCATTCTACCCAAGAAAAAAAGGTTTATTATTTGTCCAATGTATTATTAAACTCAAACCCAAATTTTTTTTAATTATAAATGAATCTAATTTATACAAACCTAAGGAAATATTCATATTATTTTCAAAACTGCTTTTTATGAAATAAGATTCAATTATATTTCTGTCAACCATGGACTTGCTTGATACAACTTTCTCAACTTTTTGAAAATCAACTGGATGGTTAAAGTCTCTCACATGAATAAATAGAGCATTGGAATCTTGTCCAGTTCTAATGCTATATTTATGTTGTTTTAATTTAAGTTCGAGACTTTTACCAGTTTGACCGTAATAAACTTTATCGCAAATTTTACAAGGAATCTTATAGACACACCCGTCAGCATTTGGGGGGGGAATTCTTTATCAAAAGTTTTTTTTTACTGTATCAAGATTTTTAAATACAACTTTAATATTAAAAGTCTTAAGAAGAGAAGGCATATCAACCAAGTTTTTTATGGTAAGGGAGAACCAACATATTTTTTTGTTGAATAAAAGTTGGTTGTCCCTTTTGGGGTTGTAAAAAGTATTTCTAGCAATTTTAAATGATTTATCAATTACATTCCTCGGGTATTTCAGATCATTGGCTATTTATAAATTTTGGATATTTCTTCATCTATGAACTCTGGACTACAAATACGTAAAGCTCTCAAAAACATTGATGAGAAAACAGACAGTTTAACTTTATCTTGATGGGAAGAATAATAGTGTATATAGGAACAGTTATTTGTAGGTTTTCTGTAAATTTTAAATTTGAATTCATTATTACTCTTAATAATTAAAACATCTAGAAAAGGCAATGAGTTATTTTCCTCAAACTCAACAGTAAAGTTTATAGAATGGGCTAAGCTATTTAATTTGTCAAGAAAATGGTGCATATCTACATTCTTGGGCATAAGACATAAAATTTAATTGACATATCTGAACCATTTTGCTCTATTAGGGAGGATTGTGTTAAGCAATCTTGTTTCAAAAAATTCCATGTATAGATTACTAATAACAGGTGAAAGAGGATTCCCCATTGCCATACCAGAAGAATTTATAATGAACTCAAAAACAAACTACAAAGAAAATTAGACAATTTAATTGAAAATAGTGATTGGACAAAGCATGCTAATAACAATTTTGTAATTAACTTATCAGGTGAAGTGTTAGATAAAAATACAACGGCTGCTCTAGGTTTTGGTCTAAGTTTTGTAACTTCAAAAAAACTTAATAATGTTGAAATTGCAAAAGCCTTTTGTAACTTTGAAAAATCTTCTGATTTATCCACTGATCACCCGAGTGTTTGAGATGTGCTGGACTGATAGTGCCCAAGAGTTTAGAGAGGTGTTTAGCGAGAATTCCTGAGAGCTGGTGGGGAGCACTGCCTGATAGAATTCCTGAGAGCACCAGCTCTCAGGAATTCTCGCTAAACACCTCTCTAAACTCTTGGGCACTATCAGTCCAGCACATCTCAAACACTCGGGTGATCTTCTCAATCGCATTCGCAACATCAACATCAGGAACAAGAAACTTTCCAGCCTTGACGTAACTTCCCTATTCACCAAAGTACCTACTACACAAGCCATCGATCTCTTGCGCAGGAAAATTGACGATTCACTTGATCTTCCCATTCCAGCCAGCGATTTCATCGACCCTGTTGAACTATGTGTTGGCTTTACGTGTTTCTCTTTCGAAAACCAACCCCTTTCAGCAGACTTTTGGATTACCCATGGGTTCGCCACTCAGTGCGGTCCTGGCGAACCTATACATGGAACATCTTGAAGCCGAACGTTTCTCCATTATTCCTTCGTCTGTCACCTGGCTCGTTATGTTGACGGGCATTCTCCTCATAACTCCTAAACGCTTCAATTTTTAAAGCTCTCCAGACAAGCTCAACCAGGTCGAACCTTCAATTCCAGTACACACTTGAAGAAGAAGTCGACAACACTCTACCTTTCCTTGATGTTCTGCTTTGCAAAGCTGACCACGAACTTCGTTTTAAAGTCTATCGAAAACCACCAACCAACGATCTTCTCCACTTTTACTCTCACCACGACACCAAAACCAAACGTGGTGTAATTATAGGCTTCTTCCCGCGTGCACTCAGAATCTGCCGCAATGAGTTTCTTGAAGAAGAATGCCGAGATTGAACAAGTATTTTTTAAACTTCAACTATCCTCGTCACTTCATCAGAGACTGCAGACGACGGGCATTTTAAAAATCTTCAACACACCCAGAGAAGACACTGCGAGAAGAGATACATGTCCCCCCACCAACTCCATTACCAAAAAACGTTTCCAACATCTTTTCCAATACCTCATTTCAAGTATCTACCTCCACAACCACGACCATTAAGGACATTACCAGTGATAGACAGGACAAGCTTCCACCCCCTGCAGGGGTAAAACATAATCCCTTGTAATGACTGCAAAAAAGTTATATGTTGGCGAAACATCAAGGGACCTCCAAAACGTATTTCAGAACACCAATACGCAAAGCAGGTCTGACGACACAAGGAATGCCTGCGTACAACACCGTAATTACACAACCACTTGATAAACTACAGAAACTAAAAGACTTATCGCCACAGAAGACAACACTCAATACCGAAGAACCCTGGAATCATCACTTATTTCTTATATCCGACAACTTCAACCAGAATAGTGGCTTCTATAACATAGCTGAACCACTTGCCAAGAAGCTTCTTCATCGCTATCCCACATAAGAACACTGTAGAAGGTCTGCTCACAAACTTGCCCAATCTCCTTTCCAAGCTACCCAAGATTTTAGACTCTATAACCCCACTCGGTACATCATCAGATGCAGCATTCTCCACCTGACCTCAGCACTCTGAACCTGACTATAAATACTCGCGCTCCTTCCACCCCAGGTAGTTCTGTTTGTGACTTGAAAAAGCCCACTGTGTGGGCGAAACGTAGTCAATAAAGGATCACATTATACTGCATATGTGTTTATATTTCGATTAGGTCAGGGGTTTCAAATAGAGTTAGAGCTAAAGAAGGAGTAGCAATAATGCTGAAGGATAAGCTATGGCAGGAAAAGAGGGACTACAAATGTATAAATTCAAGGATTATGTGGAGTAAAATAAAGATTGGATGTGAAAAGTGGGTTATAGTAAGCGTGTATGCACCTGGAGAAGAGAGAAGTGTAGAGGAGAGAGAGAGAGATTCTGGGAAATGTTGAGTGAATGCGTGGGGAGTTTTGAATCAAGTGTGAGAGTAATGGTGGTTGGGAATTTCAATGCTAAAGTGGGGTAAAAATGTTATGGAGGGAGTAGTAGGTAAATTTGGGGTGCCAGGGGTAAATGTAAATGGGGAGCCTTTAATGAGCTATGTGTAGAAAGAAATTTGGTAATAAGTAATACATATTTTATGAAAAAGAGGATAAATAAATATACAAGGTATGATGTAGCACGTAATGAAGGTAGTTTGTTAGATTATGTATTGGTGGATAAAAGGTTGATGGGTAGGCTCCAGGATGTACATGTTTATAGAGGGGCAACTGATATATCGGATCGTTATTTAGTTGTAGCTACAGTTAGAGTAAGAGGTAGATGGGAAAAGAGGAAAGTGGCAACAACAAGTAAGAGGGAGGTGAAAGTGTATAAACTAAGGGAGGAGGAAGTTCGGGCGAGATATAAGCGACTATTGGCAGAAAGGTGGGCTAGTGCAAAGATGAGTAGTGGGGGGGGGGGGGGGTTGAGAGGGGTTGGAATAGTTT